GAGCCTGAGTATTTCAATCTCGCTACAGATGACTCTGCGACGGGATCGAGTGAAAGGTTTCAGGACGTTGATGAGACGCATCTTAACGCTGGATGTCAAGGTCATGGGATTGGTGGGGTGCAGCCATCATTGCACTTCAGCGGTAATCTTGGATCTGGGACAGTGGGGATGCCAGAGAGGAATAGTGGATTGCAGGGGTTTGGTCAGCGTGTGNNCAAACATGGTTCACCAGAGTGGTGAGGCGAGTCGTGGTCTCCAACAGTATCCATCGCAAAGCGTTGAAGAAAGATTGTCTGGAACCCAACAGGGCGCCGGTGCTACAACAGTGGTGAATGGTGGGACATCACATCCTGTGGGATGGCAGATAGACCATCAAATTCGGAATACTCCTGCACAGGACCTGTATGGAATCCTTGGACAAGAGGGCAGACGTGATCCNNTTGCTGCTGGGTTTGATTAGGCGGTTGGAGGAAGCTGAAGCTCGAGCGCGTGTTGCGAGTACCATGCAGTCTGTAGGGAATCCTAGTCTCTATACGGGGAAAGCCCCGATGTACAGGAGTGGGCCTGGGGATGATGTGAGAAGTAGTGCTATGTCAGATCCTTTAACTACTAGAAGGGCTGGTTCCGGATTGGTTGGGGATCCTTTTGGGGGTATTGGTTTGGAGGCAGGTAGGTATAACCCGTCCGGTGGACTTCCGAATCATTGGACTTCAGATCCTCAGCCGTCGATGCCACCAGCTGTGCGTGATTCTGGATTCGGTCATGTGTTTGACCTTCCGGTTGAGAATTGGCCTGGCTTTCCTATAAGGGGTCCTTATGGAATTCGTGAAGGGGAGCAGAGCATTAATCTTGCTGGAAGTAGTGGTTTCCGGATTGGGCAAAGCTCTGGATTTGGGCATATGCGGGGCTCTCCTGAGTCTGCGGCGGTGATGTCTCAGCCGATGCGTGAGGGTCCTGGGGACATGCTTAGTTTGATTGGTGATGAGATTTTTGGGCGTCAGGGGGAGGGTAGACAGGGAGTTACTGAAGGGTTTGAGGTTGCTGGGCATAGTAAGGGAAGGGATGAGCCGATAAGCCTGTTGGACTTGGACCCCATTCCTGTAGCCCCTATGTCGCCTCGTCCGAACCAAACTCCTTTGATTGATGTCTTAAGCCCTAATCCCCATAGAACTACGCCCTTTGCTCCTGTAGCTGCAAGCGTCCACGCATTTGGAGGAATTGAGCATGAACCGCCTAGGACGCCCAGGGTTGGAACATCACTCGGGTATGCGTGCACTCCAGGTGGAACGAGGATCCCTGATGGACCTCCTCCCAGCACCCCGCCTAGTAAGACGGTAAGCTTTGGAGATGCCATTCCAATACCGCCTTCGCCTATCCCGAGCCCTCCTGCACCACCCTACGGCATTCCAGGGGTTAATATAGGATCGGGTAGACCTGAGGAGCCAAGTAAGCTGGTTCATTCACTTCCAATCCTTAATGTGACAGAGGGCAGTTCTGATGCTTCAGTGATCACAGGAGATTGGCTTGCAAGGCTTGGCCCTATAATGCGTAGTATGTCACCTTCGGCTGCCATCTGGTGGCAGCGGTCGCTACAGTCTGCAACGGACTTTTATAACTTATGGCTGAAAGCTGATCCACTTGAGCGCCTTGATATTAAGTCTAGGGCTATAGCGGTTACCAGGGATTGGGGTGGTTTGGCATTGGTAGAAGAAAGGGCGGCAGTGCTTCTTCTTCAGGCCATTCCAGCAGATCTTCAATCAGAGGCTGTGTCAGTTAGAGCACTTAGTACGGTATCGCTGCTGTTCTTGATTTATTCGAGATTCCAACCGGGCGGCAGTAGTGAGAAGGCGAGTATCCTAGCTTACCTCACCCAGCCTAGTATAGAGGGGTCTCCGGGGGTGGTTGCCAATCATGCCGCGCTTCGCAAGTGGGAGCGTTTGTATCGTCGGTGTGTTGAACTTGGTCTTTCACCTCCTGATCCTACGCTGTTGGTGAGGGCCCTGGACAGTTTGGGAAAGGTTATCACCAATAAGTCCACGCATGCAGCATTCCGGCTTTCGACATACAGACTACAAAGCCAGCTTGATTCCCAGCCTAGTGAGGCAAATGTGCTACAATTCTGTCAGCTGTTGACGGCTGAGCTTGAAACTCTTATGTTGTCAGGTAACGAAGCAAAGCATCAGCGTGTGGCTGCAGTCCGTGTTGAGGCTGATGAGGCTACCAGGGTTCCAACCAAGCCGAAAGGCCCACCCGCTAGAGACCCTAAGACCCCCTCCCCGAAGCCCAATTCTCCACCGAGTCCATTGGATGCTAACGGGTACTGTCGGTTCTTTTCTAGCCTTCATGGTTGCAGGTTTGGAAAGACGTGTAAACATTCTCATCCGAATCTAGCACCTACGGATAATCGGTGTTTCAATTGCGGAGCTAGTGGGCATGCGGTGTCGGTGTGTGATAAGCCTGGGGGAGGTGCCGCTCAAGCCATACCGAAAGGTACTGAGTCAAAACCTAAGTCTGACATGCCATCTTTGCCAAAGCTTCCCAAAACTGAATTTCCCGCTACTAAAGGTAGACGACCTAAGGGAAGGAAGCTAGAGGTGGAGGGGTCAGCTACGGGTGCGCAAGAGGGTAGTCAAATAGCCGACAACGCCGCTGATCAAGGGGAACAGCAGAGCCTTAGGAAGATGTCCTCGGGTGTTGGTGAGAGTTCTGGGTATGGAATTTCCTTGAAGTCCCTTGGGGTTGATGGCGGTAATGGCTTGATTGATGGAGGTGCCACTCACTGCCTCAGGTATGGAGCTCCCCACGAATATGCCCAAGCAAGGGAGGTACAGGTAAGGCTTGCATCAGGGGACACACAAGAGCTACGTATGAGTCCGGTGGGGACGCTCTTGAGTCCCGATCCCACTATTCAGCCGATACTTGCAATGGGTTTGTGCGCAAGTGAGCTTCATTGTAGGATCGTGTGGGAAAGCACCCAATGCAGTGTATATCATCCTCAATTGAAGGAGCTGCCAATTCTGATGCGGGGTGGGTGCCCAGAGATTCCATCGGAGCTATGCTTGTTCCTTATTCGGGAGATTGAATCGGCGCGTGGTGACGCTATGTTGAGGTCGGTTCGCACTGGGGTATTGGACACTTCAGCGGATTGGCTGGTTCTCAACGGATGGGAATTCTTGGGGGGCTTAGTAGACTGGGTCAATGCTAACTATGCGGAGGTACCAGAACATCTTCGTGCTCGATTGGTTCCTAACAGGCCTATGTTGCCGGGTGACTCTGGTTTGAATCGCCACTCTAGGCGAAAACTTCAGCGTGGCGGTGCAATGGTGCACTTGTTTGCGGGGTCACAGCGGTGGGAGCATCCAGATGGAAAGCCTTCGGTGTCATTAGATATCTCTAGGGGGTTCGATCTAATCGACGATGCCCTCTTCCATTACCTGCTGGAGCTTGGCAGGGCCGGTGCAATTGAAGCATTGGTTGGAGCGTTGCCTAGTGGGACGTTCCGGTCAGGGGGAGATGATGGTAGCAAAAGGCTAAGAGATGGATCGAGCTTGGGAAGGTTTGGTGTTCCTACCCTTACGGATGAAGAAAAGTTCAAAGTTGATCAAGACACGGTTAGGATCCTTCGATGTATGATTCTCGCGGATGTATCTACCATGGGTCTTAAGCATCGTTATGGTGATAGAACTGACAGCAGAAAGGTGGATGAAGTTCTGATGGTCCTTGAGCATCATGAGGAGGCTGCACGCGCTGATGGGACTAAGGTTCCGTCTTTGTGGGATTGGCCGGAGATTGAGAGTTTCAAGACTCGTTGGGAGTTGCATAAGGCCTCGTTCCATCTCGGTATGTTGGGTGACCCCGGTGTCCGTCCTTCAATCGTTCTTACGTCGTCAAGTTACCTTTGGGAAAGGCTTCACTTGTTGAAGATCCCTCACTCGTTGCTTGAAAGGGCCCTTAACGGTAGTGAAGGAACGGGGACGATAAGCACAAGGTCGGATCATCCAGAATGGCCTAAAGGACTGGTAGGGTGCATACGTGAGGCCCTTCATGACTGGTCTAAGGGATGGGCGCACGTTGTGAGATCGTCGGAGGTGCGGGTGAAACGGCTTGCGCACCTTCTCGCGAACAGTGGGATGCCTATGGGTACTGATACCGGCATTTGCGTCAGGAAGTTGTCCAAGAGGGCATTGGAGCAGTTCAGAAAGCATTGTCTGGCGGGACACAGACCTTGGAGACCAGACTGTGCTGCATGCCTTGATGCTATGGCCTTTTGCAGACCACATAGACGTCTTAAGCATACTAGGGTGTGTGGTATGAATGTTGATGTGTCAGGTCCCCACCGGACTGAAAGTGCTGAGGATCAGGACATTACGAAACCAAGGTATTTCATTGTGTGTAGTTACGCCTATCCAATCTTCAAGGCTGCTGCGTCTGATGCGAAAGCTACTGATCATGCAATTCCCCTTCCGGGGGAGATGTCTGAGGGAGAGGCAGAGGGTGCAGTTGAGGATGACGGTGGGGGCGTAGGTGCAGTGCAGGATAACGAATGGGAGACGCCAGAAGCCGATGACCCAGCGTTTGTTTTGTCCGAAAGCGACAAACATAGGATTAAGGCTGAAAATGACAAGTGGAAGGTCATCGCTGAGGGCTGTGCTGAGATTGCTCATGAAGTTGTAGATATCCCTATGGTGGAGATTCTGCCGATGAAATCTGCAAAAGCGATTGTAAGTGCCTTGAACAGGTTTTATGCGCGACTGCGGTCTTGGGGGCTGCCTGTCTATAGGCTGCATAGCGATAGAGCTAGGGAGCTTACGGATCCGCTTGTCACGCAATGGGCCGCGCACCGTGGAATCTACAAGACAACTACTGTACCTGAACAGCCGGCTGGAAATGGACGTGCGGAGAGACTGGTGGGGAAGCTTAAACAGCAAGCCCGCGCGTTGTTGCACTCCACAGATGCAGGCTATGCTCTATGGCCACATGCCGTCAGGTATTCTTGCGAGGGCCTTCAAAGGGCTCAGCTGCATCGCTTGGGCATGGATGTTCAGCCGTTGGTCCCCTTCTACTCTTTGGTTAAGTTTCGGGCACGCACGTGGCGGGATGAGCAATGGGGAACCCGAGCCTCTGAGGGGAGATTAGTGGCGCCGTGCACTGATATTAGTAAGGGGTATGTGGTTAGAGTACATGATGCAGGTACGCCTAGATTGTATGCCACTACATTGGTGTATCGAAACTTTGTGCCGGAGCCGGAGCCTCCTCAGGGAGAGGCTTCTGAGGAGCCCGCTCCACAGATTTATACAACAGGGGCTATCGTTGGACGACCGGCGCCGGGGGAGGCTGAGGAGGTTCTCCGACTTCCGGAGACTGAGGGAATGCTTAAGGCTTTCCAGTCGATTGATCCGCATTCCGGTTTGTCCTCCAGTCTTCATGTTGAAACCTCATCCTCATATGAGCAGCCTGTAGACATACCGAAGTGGCCTTCTGAGGGCTCGGATTTGGTGCATTGTAGTCTGAAGGAGCTGGATGGTTATGCAAAGGTGTTGTTGCATGCTCCTGTCTCTGATGCTCGTACCTCATTTGCTGCAGCGCTTCTTAGGAGGTGGATTAAGATGATACCAGGTGGTGCTGTCGGCACCAGGCGTCAGGGATTGGTGCCACTGGGATTGTTTAGGTTTGGAGGTGTGGTGGGTGTCACCAATAATACTGGTTTGTCGCCACACGTCACTCTCCTTATCAATCGGCTTGTGCAGGAGCAGGCTCCGTCGTGCTGCTACACCTCCGTTGCGGTATCCTGTGATTGCCGTCAGGCATTACATAGAGACTCCCAGAATGATGCCACTGCTGAAAACACTTTGGTAGTTCTGGAAAGGCCGGTAACCGGAGGGGGAGTCTGGGTGCAATTGCAATTGGGAGATGTAATTCGGGGGCCGATCAGTGAGCGATGCCTTGAAAAGGGTGGCTCCATTGTTGGCCAAACTGTGCCCTTATCGACTTCCCCCATTCGCTTTTGCCCTAGGCTGTGGCATGCCGTTGAGGACTATCCACATGATCAACCGCGATTGGTTCTTGTTGCGTACTCTTCCCAGGGTCTGTCTAAGCTCTCGGCTAACCACCCACAGTCTTACGCCACGTTATGCCAGCTGGGCTTTCCTGTGCAATCCCTTGATTCTGAAATCCCTGCTTCGTTGGCTGTTGAAGCTGTGGATAGGGATCAGGGGGTGTCTGTCAATCCATTCCTTTGCTGTTGCGATGTGCCTGCCTTTGATGCTGAGCTTTTCGAGTGCTCTCAGCAGGGGGAGTCCCTTCCCTCGTTAAAAATTCAAGGGAGTGCAAAGGTTAATAAGGTCGAGGAAAGCAAGGCAGGTAATACTGAAACGAAGGGTTGTTCTGAGGCGGTTGATGATGGGGTATCCGATAAGGACGCTTTGGTAAACCTCTGTGCCCTTGCATTAAAGTCCGATTTGAATCAATGTGATCTTGCGATGCGCGACTCTTGTATGCCTGCGTGTGTTGAGGTGTGGAGGAACAGCCTTAGCAGATCTTCTGAAGATAGCTGGTCCGCGGTTTCATCCCTTGAAGGTTTAGAGCCGATTGAAACATCATTCACTTTTCCGGTTGAAGGAGAGGAAGGTGACACAGATGAGCATACGGATGAGCCCGCTTCTCAGCCAGATGCAAGAATTCTTCTTGAGGGGCGTAGATTAGCTTCCATATCAGCCATGCGAGAGCAAGAGCAAGCGTTGGTGAAGGAATTACAAGCTGGTCATGTTGAGCTTGCGATGTCCACTGCTGAGCTTTTGGAGCAAATGGATAACTCTGTATCGTGCATAGAGTCTCTGTTGGAGTCGTTGTCCGGTCAAACTACTTCCGAATGGGAAAGTGAGGGCCAGTCGCGAAGCGATATCAGCCTGAGAGCTCTTGATGCTGAATCAGATGTTCTTCAAACAAAAATGGTCCCGATTGCTGAAGTGGCTAAGGACATTGAAAACTGGAAGTCGGCCTTGTCAGACGAACTGTCCAGTGTGACCACTGTTCACAAGGCAGGCTTTATCATATCGGAAGAGGAGGCCAGGAGTTTGGAGAGTAATCCTGAGGTGGAGGTGTTGCGTGTCCCAGGAAAAGTTGTTGCGAGTATTAAACCACCATTTAAGCGGAAAGCGCGGTTCGTGGCTTGCGGGAATTACCTCACGAGGCCCAAGGAGTCGAAATCCCCCACTTTGGATCGTCATGACCTGTACTCAGCAGGTCTGGACAGCTTTGCTCTCCGAACGCAGTTAGCGATTGGGGCGTATAAGCGTTGGCACTGTGCATCGCTGGACGTAAAGACGGCATTCCTGACAGCACCTCTGCAGCAGCCACGTGCTACAAGCAAGACTGGTAAAGAGAGGATTGTCTTAGTGCGGGTACCGCGCGTTATGGTCCTTGCCGGTCTCGTGCCACCGGGCTCATGGATGCGCGTTGAAGGCGCTCTGTACGGACTCCAGGAATCACCTCATTCTTGGGGAAACTTCCGTGATGGAAAGCTGCAGTGTTTGACTTGGCGTACACCTTCCGGAAAGAAGGTTTTCCTTGAGCAATGCGCATCCGATGTTTCGGTATGGCTTATAAAATCTGAGGGTCTTGTGGTAGGAACCTTAGGGGTATATGTCGACGATCTTTTGGTAATGACTGAATCAGAGCACTTGATGCCCACTCTCGATGCTATCAGGTCTTTGTGGAAGTGTTCTGAACCAGAGTATGCCAGCAAACCAGGTGGATTTCGCTTTTGCGGTCTCCAAATTGAAGAGCGCAATGGTGGAATATGGATTCACCAACGGGATTACCTCGTCGATCTATTTTCTAAGTATCCGCACTTGAAGGCTTCATCTGTGCTTCCGCAGTTCAAGGAGGAACCACCCGCCGAAACTCCTACAGCGTCCACTGTTCAATATGCTCAACGGATCATTGGTGAGCTGACTTGGGTGTCAGGTCGCTCCAGATTGGACATCTCTTTCTCAGTGAACAAGCTGAGTAGATACACAACTAAGTGTCCATCATATGTAGTTGAATGCGGTGAGCAGGTCATCAGATATCTGATGTTCACAGTGGACTACTGCTTGTGCTATAGTCCCTCTCTTGAGGTACCAGAAGACTTTCTAGCAGAGCTTCCTTCTGTGAGGAGCGGTGCGGTGTTAGAAACATGGGCTGATGCTTCCTTCGCTGCTCAAGAAGATGGAGATTCACAAACAGGAGTCATCATCACTCTGGTAGGCATGCCGATCGCGTGGTTGTCACTCCGTCAGGCGTGCGTGGCTTTATCTACATGTGAAGCTGAAGTTGTCTCGTGCATCGAAGGTGTCTGTCTGACGCGGGCCTTACGTCCGTTGATCGAAGAAATACTGGGACAGGTTATACCCTGGCATCTGCTCAACGATTCTGTGAGTTGCTCGTCTGTGTTGTCCTTTCCGGGAGGATCGTGGAGGACAAAACACTTGAGACTCCGTGCCAGAGCCATCAGGGAGTCTCTGGAAGCGGGGGAGCTGACGCTTTCCCACATCCCAGGAAGATATATGCTCGCAGATATCTTGACTAAGCCATTGAGCTCTGTGCGGATTCGTGAATTGTTGGGGTTTATAGCATGTAAAGGACTGCCTTCCAATGTCTCTAATACAGGGACTGGTGTAAAAGCAAAGTCTGCATGCCCTACCTCAAGACCAACCGTGAAGTCCGGGGCAAAGGTAAAGTTGTTAATAGGGGCATCATGCTTGTGCACCTCTGAAGCGCAATCGCAGCCTTGGGTGCCAGGTGAGTATGGCTCTTGGTTATGGCTAGTTGGACTCTTGGTGTTAGCATGTGTAGCCTTGTGTGTCTGGGAGTCTTGGAGAAGACATCGCACAGCTTTGAGGCTGCAGCGACTCAGAGACATTGCTGATGAAGTGCTGCGTGAAGCCGCGCTGTCCGATTTGCAAGAAGGGTCGGTTACGGGGGAGCCTGAGCCGGAAGCATCAGAAGATGAGGCAGCTGAAAATTATCAGCATCCCGAGCCATGTCTGGAGCTGAAGGATGTGCTTCGGAAGGTTGGTGGGTTAGTGTTTAGGCTTTTAGATCCTGCGGGTGATGAAGTTCTGGAACTCCGACCTGTCTCGCGGGGTATAAAGATTTCGGTTTTTATAGCATGGACTTACGTCATGCCTGAGCGCCCTCTTGTTGATGAATCGAGCGACAGTGAGATCTCCGATGACAGCGAGCCTTGGAGCGACGACGCAAGTGAAAGCGATAGACGTTCACTTGAGGAGCCTGAGCCTGTACCTAGAGAGCAACCCTTCCCAGAACGCTTAGCTGAGCAGTGGAATCATGTGCATGCTATGTTTTCATGGCAGCCAGGGTATGATCGGTCTAGGGTGCAAAGGGCTGTTGAGATTTGGATTGAAAGGGGTAGACCTATGGCGTATTTGAGTGACCTTGGGTTTCGTACTCGGCATGGGATAGTAGGCGGCATGGACCAAGCGTTTGAAATGATGCTTGAGTTCTACTTACGTGAATACTCTCCTGAACCACCAGTGCCAGTCGGAGTCATCCCTTCCAGCTCTTCAGCTACTCCACCCGTGGGCAATGCGCTCACCCGCTCAGCAGGCAACAGGGACCCTGAAGGCACTCACATGCCCTATGGAGTTGCATATGCTGACGACATCATTGGAAGTTGGGGTGTTAGGGTTCTTAGTGTCGCTGAGGATCTAACTCCTGCGGATTATCAAATAGCTACTGCTGCTTATGTTATTTGGGATCGTGGTCTGCAGTTTGAACATCGGCAGATGACTGAAGCACAACAAGCTATCTACCACAACTTAGTCAGACAAAGACTTGCTGAAATCCAAGAAGTTGATTGAAAGGCGCCTGTAATCCTTGCTTTGGGTTTGCCTTGCAAGTTAGGTCCGTCGTGTCTTTTGGGTTTAGGCGTGTTGAAAGGGTTACGTGCAACCGTGCTCGCATGAGCGCTGTGGCCAGTCCCGTGGGCTGCAGCGTGG